TTCAAATTATGGTGAGTAAATGTAGTGTTGTATAAATGTACAATAAAGAAAATAAAAAAGTAGGTATATTAAAATTCATCCTCTGAATATTCTGATGAATTATCTTCGTCTCCTAGATTGATAACGATAGGTTCCACAGTAACGTCAATTAAATTATCGAGTTCCCACATTTTCTCCTCTTCTTTTTGTACATGATGTATACATCTTTGCCAGTTATCTGCAGTTACTCGTTCCAAGGAATTTTTTAACAAAATTTTCACGTCACTTAATTTAAACGTCGTATTATTTCGCGCTACATCTTCTTTTACCTGCGCCCAGACTAATTCGATTGGGTTAAATTCACGGTGATAAGGTGGTAACCGTAGTACCGTTATTTGGCGATTTGTTGCCATTTCATCGATAACATATTTTTTCAGATCTTTATTAAGATTGACAAGTGTCAAAAGGTCCTTTTTCACCATATTTGTTTCAAAAGAAATGTTTTTTCCGGATAACCAATGAATTATATCGGCTTTCCTCCAAGCAGTCGTAGGCGTCCGCTCGGTCTGCCGTGAATGGTAACTGGCATTATCCATGACAATTACAGACCCCGGAGGAATAAGATCCAACATCTGTGTAAAATACTCTTCGAAAACATCTGCGTTCATGTCTTCGTGATAGTCACCTGTATTTTTAGATTCAAATAAAAGTAAACCGCCATCTACAAAACCACTGGCACTACCTATATGTGTCACTATTAATCTTCGCCCTTTACCTGAAGGTGCCTTGAACCCTGTTGAAAGTCCATCCAAAAATGCTTGTCGAAAACTTTTTACATTTTTATCTTGCCATACTTTTGTTACAGTATATCCCTCGTTGACCCAAGTTTCGTCTAGATAATAAATATTCCTCCCCTCGTCACGGAATTTTCTAATTGATCTTAAGTAGGATCTTCGCCAACAAATAATTTCATCTTTATCGATAAGAACTGACTTCCTGTTCTGCTTTTCCCAGCAAAAATTCAACTCTCGTAAGACGGCCCATAATTTGCCTCCACTGATTTTTGGCAAATCGTTGTCCTCTGAAAGTTTACTTAAAATTTTGTTTAGCGTTGGTATTTCTTTTTTAAAATAAAATAAGTGTACGAAATATTACCACGCCCATGGCCGGTTCTTATCCCGGGGTTTTATTACTCTCTTTCATTTCCAAACAGACTATAATAGTAATGGATTCTGAGACTTGGGATATTACTCTAGCCAATCCAACAGTAAAAATTACCGAATTAGAAACTTTATTTTTTGACTTTTGACCAGCTTTTTGGGATTCTGCCCCACTGTGCGCCGCCAGGACAGGTCTAACAGTTGCAAGGACAAAAAAACAGACGCGGGATGCAACAGGGTTCCAGGAAAAGGTCCACGTCAAATTGGCGCCAAGGACCAGATACTTGAGAGCGACTCCACACCACGAAGATTCTTCAGCGAACGCTCGTCACGACAACACTTCTTTTCCACTAACTTTGTTTTCAATAAAAATACTTTTATTTTTACCGTTGAGAGAGAGTTTTATTTTGCTGCACACCGAAAGCAACCTCAAAATTTTTTAGCTTCGATAGTCTTTGAGTAATCATAAGAAAATCAACGAAAAATAAAATTGCAACTATAACTATATAAATCGGCTGTTAAAGCGAGTAGCGGCAACAACTAGAATTTATCTACTTAATTTGCAAATTGCTTCATGTACCTGTTTAGATTATTTAACTTTGCCAAGTCTAAAAGCCTTTCAAAGTAAATAGTTTCAAGATCTTGGTTCTCTACACAATAAAAAGTATTATTTCTGCAGTTTCAATTTCCTCGTCTAACAACACACTTCCTTTGCCGTGCTATTTTATAAGAAATGTTATTCTTATTCGCGTTAAAGCGAACTACAAAGACCGACTGGAAATATAATGCATACATTTAAAATTTAAAGCTTTACAAAATACCATTCCTTCGCTGCAGCAACCCTCTATTTTATTTTAGGATTGTTTCTAAAAAATTCATCGTTTCAACAATTTTCCTACGTACCTTTGAAGGCAGGAAACAGTAGCGAAAACAGGAACTTTTCATGTTTTACTGCCCTAGGGGAACACATCAATATATTTAATACACCTGTTAAACTTCGTTAAGCTGCAGGAGGAAGCCAAACGGAATTTATAATAACTTACAACAAAGCCGCTGGTGCAGGTAGCTGCTCATTTACTCGATAACGAGGTTAGTTTTTCACCTACTCGCCGAATAAATTAAATAATATAAGATCACAGGGCTCCTGCTTATAACACTTGAAAGCTCCGTTCATGATAGAGGTTTAAGTAAATTAACGGCCTGTTGCTGCGTTAATTTAATGAAGGTGAATATTCAGGAGGAACAAGATTTGAAGTTCGGTATCGAATACTGCAGTGCGTGGTGGTGGCGGGTAGTGTACAGGGTCATTAATTTTAGGAGAAAAAAGTTTGAACATTATTTGTTTTATTTTTTATGAGGAAGCCATCGACGTACTCAGCTTTTCTACAAATCGCACAGTTTTCCGATATAAACATAAAGATAGGTTTTTTAAATAAAACACCCTATACTTGACCATCCCGTTGATTAGCATTTTTTTACCTTTTCAGCCATATATAATAATAGATACTTTTTATTTGCCTAAATAAATAAAAATACAAATAATGTATAGGTATTTTTCCAGTTGACCATGTGATTTATTTAGTTGTTTAATATTGACAGTTAATTTATTTTTGACTGATTGAATGACTTCCTCATAAAAAATAGAACAAATAGTGTTAAAACTTTTTTCTTCTAAATTGAATGATAACGCACGCCAAAAAAATCTTGCTTCAAATGTACAACATTTGATTTTAAGGTATCGCACGTTTATACATATATATGGTGTTTTGGGACACCCGTCCTTCTGGGATTTGATTAAGGAGACTAAAACGAATTAAAAATCAAGAGTGAAAAATTTTCCGATTGTTTTCCGTTGTTGAGTTATTCAAAAAATTAAAAAAGTGAAAATCCATTTTTTTTCTCAAAACTGAGGTATGTGCTTACGGGAACCAAGACATATAATTTATAACCAATAGTAGGGAAGTACAGTTTTCGATTGTCGGTTGTACCTGAGTATAAGGAATTATTTTAACCTGAAAAGGATAGACAAAAACATTTTAATAATAAAACATAAACTAAAACCACAATGTGCTTAAATAATAGAAATTGTTTTTACAAAAGGTGTTCAAATAAGTTGCCTTCTATTTCAAGACAAAGATTATCACGATTCAACAATGAAGCATGAACACTTTGTAGCATCTCTTGGTCTATTAACGCGGCAGCAGCGTATATACGGACTATAAATCTTTTCTTTTAAATAACCCCAAAAGAAAAATCTAGGGGATTCAGATCTGGTAATCTAGGAAGCCATGGTCCACCTCTTCCAATCCATTTGTTTCGAAAGTTTTGATTTAGATAACTAAATTTTATATTCGTATAATGTGATGGAGATCCATCATTTTGAAACCAATAATTTAGTCTAACTGCTAACGGAACGCCATCCAGCAATGGCATTTGTTAGCTTTCATTTAAAAACATACAGCTACAGCAAATACAGCTTTGAACTACATAAATATTTAATCACCCAGTCCAAATGTTTATTTTTAGTTTTTTGAATAACTCAACAAAGAAAAACAATCGGAAAATTTTCCACTTTTGATTTTCTATTTGTTTTTGTCCCCCTAATCAAAACCCATAAGGACGGGCGTCACTTTTGAGACACAGTGTTTAGTTACTCACAAGATGTGTATACATACACAGAGCGTAAGTGCTTGCTCCATCTATTGTGCTACTTCCCACCTACGCCATTCTGTGACCTACAATTTTCTTTCCAGAAAATATAAGTTTGATTATATTATGCTACATTTGTCTCGAATAATTCCTACATTAATACTAAATTTTAAGTATATATACATTTTAAGGAACTGGTAGTTTTGAAACAAATATTTCCAAATTATAAAAAATTTGAATTAAACTATATATATTTACAAATAATATAAATTCTAAGAAAAATATATACATTTGAATAGAATAAAACAACATTTACGGCAAATAATTCCATTTAAAACTATATATGCAGTGGGCAATTTTTCAAAAAAACCCTGTATATCTAAAACTAGTCAAGTTAGAAAAGATCTTTTGGTGCCAGCGAAGTAAATTCAAAAGAAGAGGACGGGACATCGATATCAGATTTTTGTATCTATCATCGATTTCGCTGTACCCTATAAAACTCTCGAAAATCAACTACCCTGTTACAGTACGTACCAGTTAACATGTAACAAATGGAAAAAAAATCTTCAAAATGCAGCAATAATCAACGGTTCTTCAGATGATGTGAATAATATAGTATGGTAATATAGAAAAAAAACATCAGTGGGATTCCTGAAAACAAGGAAAATGAGACATATCTCTATCATTCTTATGTACAAGGATCTTTACGTTAAGAAAACGCTATTAATACCGTCTCAACATCTCATGGAAAATCCGATCGGTCTCTCCCATAATGAGCTGCAGAAAGGATGTACTCCAAGGTTTAGATCCATTTTATTCAACGGTTTGTCATTAATCATTAATATCGATTTAGATGATTTAGTTGACAATGTCAACGCCAATGCTTCCGGAGCTATTGGGGAATGTGACACTTAATAATTTAATTTATTTAAAAAAATTAAGTACTTACTTTTATAACATTTATTTATATCATAATTTTATAATTTCTACATAATAATAAATCAATATGTCTACTATTATTGGGAATATAAAGTTTACATTTAAAATAAATCTAAAAAATTTATTATTTTATATTTAAGTTTAAATATGTGGTTAATATTAAGGAAAAGAAATTATGTAGGTACCTATACAAGTTTCAATTACTTCAAATATCTAATAGATATCTGGATTGAAAAGTTTATGTGATACTAGCTCAACCAGTAATGTTCGATACTTGCCTGTAACGTCATATTCTAACAATTTATTCGTCTTATTTTCTTAGGTCATTGTAAGGTTCTCGCCCGAAAAATTAAGTAAAATATTTTATTATATTTTTGTCCAAAATTACTTTTAGACAGAATATTTATTATTCTCATTTTTAACAATTTTTTCTCATTTGAAAATGTAATAAAATTTAAGGAGCCTTTGCGCCAAAAGCAGCTTAAAAATATGAATTGAATTTTAAACAATGTCAACTTAAATGCACTATGTGAAGTAGGTTAAACAAGAGAAGTAAATAATAAATATACATATTTGAGCTTGGTAAATTTCATCAGAATATCTAAGTTACGATAATAATTGTAATTTTATTAACCGTATTCACATTTTATCACGGTGCGCATTTTCTCGACTCTAAGGTTTCTTTAACTTTTTATGCATATTTTATTAGGTTTCAAAAAGCGCGTAGACAATATTTTAAAAATAGATATCTATTTCTAGCTTCAGGTAATAAACCCTAACTCAGCGGAAATAAATTTGATCCATATTGTATGATTGTCATATTTTATATGTGTTAAATTGTTTGCAATTGTAATGTGTAAAATATGTATAATGAAACTATTAAACCCTAGTGACATTCACCCACATGTTCCCCTTGGGGGAGAGGATGAGAGATTTAGTGTCAAATTTTAGTGGATATATTGTTTTTTCATTTAGGGTGATCTTGAAATTCTTGACGATCTTGGCCAGTCCCACTAGAGATTGCATCCGTCCAAATCTTGATCCTAAAATATATAATAGTCTCAGTAAAGCAGCAAATAGATCAATCAAGAATTTGTAACATTTTTTTGTGAAAGTGTGGGTGAAATATAATCTACAAAATATGTTATAAACATGCTCTGTACTTACTGACAGAGAGCGGCCTACTAATCTCTAGGTACTATGACTAGCGTCGCAGAGTAGTTATCTTCGATAGTATTATTATTTTTTTTTAGGGAACCTAACCTTACCTAAAATAATAGTGGGTAAATCAACGTGTTACCTATGCAGATTCTTGGTCCTTCTCCAAATGGAACATGTGTGTAAGGCGGCCTCTTAGCTTTATTTTCTTCGTTAAACCGTTCGGGATCGAACACTTCTGGATTGGGGTAATATTCTGGATCATAGTGAATCCCCATTATGGGAATAGAGAAATGGGTTCCAGCTTCTATAGTTATATCTGTTCCAGGTATAGTATAATCTTTAGTACACACCCGTGGAATTGCAGATACTGGAGGATATTTTCTAAGAGTTTCTACAAAGATTAATGAAACATTTACAAGAACTTTGCAACCGGATTAAAGAAAAGTTATAGTACTTAGTATGCTATTTTCTATTCAACTAGAGATATTTGAATAAGGGAAAATAATGAACTGAACACTATTATACTAACCATTAAAGACTTTATCTAAGTAGGTCATTTCATTCATAGCTTCATATGTGAATTTATTATCATATTTTTTTAGAACTTCATTTACTTCTTTTCTAACTTTATCCTGAATGTCTTGATTCACTGCCAACTCATATATCGCAAACGTCATAGTCGTCGAAGATGTTTCAAAACCTGCTAAGAAAAATAAGTAACACTGGGCAGCAACCTCGTTGAACGTCAAATAAGTACCACCCTCAGCTTTCTGACCATCAGGGGTGAACGAATCATCATCATCAGTGATTTTTCCTTTATTTTTTAACTGGAGCAGCAAATGCAAGAAGTCTTTCCTTACTATTTTATTCTTCTCTCTATATTCAATATTCTCTCTTATAACGTTCTTTAGAAAATTCTCCAGCTCCTTTGTAGTTATGCGCAGTCCTAATGCTACCAAGATACTTTTGGGGAACAAAGCTATTAAAGTATATTTGAACATTTTAAGACGATCGTAAGCAAAAACTTTTTGTCCAACCTTTCTGAACTCTGCTTCTGGATCTATGAGACTGTTACATTTAATTCCAAACGCTGCAGATCCTATGATGTCAGTGGTGTAACGTGCCGCCACTTCCTTGATGTCCAAGGCTTCGTTATTTTTTATGTATTGATCGAGTAAGTGCTCTAAGCCATCGCTACATTCCACAAATATTGGGAACATCATTTTCATTTTTCCTGAAAGAACATAAATACATAAATAATTAACTAATAAGATAAGAAAAGCAGACGATTAAAGGCCAATTCCCACATAGCAGCGCCGCAGCAGCGCGGCGCGTCGCTGCAAATGCTGCTCCAAAAAATATCCATATTTTTAAATGGAACAGTTCCCACATAAGCAGCACAGCGCGGCAGCAGCGCAGCGCGTCAAAATTCAACGCCTCTGAGAGCGTTGCTTGCTGCTCTGACCTTCGTCGCGCTGCCAAGTGGACATTAGGAAGCAGCAAACACTGCTGTGTCTTCGGCAAATCTTGATACATATCGCTCACTATTTGGCTGTGGGAGAGGTACCAGACGTTTCGTGGTGGCTGTTGGACTTTGTAATCACTAATTATATGTAGTTAGTAAATGCAGGTAGTTTGATTTTGTTAGAGTATTATAAAATTACTGACAAAACTCTACGTTTCTAAGTAGGATTAAAGCAATATTAATAAATTATATATCTAGGATATCACTAAACGAGGAACTCGACATTTTGAAAATAAAATACGTTCGTTCTATTAGATAGTCGGAACACTACTCCTAAAATATTAACCGCTGCGCTGGTGCTGCACTGCTAAGTGGGAATGCCTACCAAGTTTTTGCATCGCAGCGACGCTATGAAGCGCTGCTGCCGCGCTGCTGCGGCGCTGCTATGTGCGAATTGGCCTTAAATTTGTGGGATTGAGGAGTTGCGGAAATAGTTGTGTCTTGACCTGACTGTTCCATAAACCGATAAAATTCCTATACGATGCATCAAAATTTGATTAACTATGTATTGTTACTTAGTGTAGAAAACAAAATCACTTTTCTTACCAGATGTAAAAGTAGGTGACAGCTTAGCACGCAGGTTCCTCCACTTACTACCCTCCAAGTTGAAAAGATGTCCTGATAAAGGTTCACCTTCCTCATTGAGGTATGTTCCATGATTCATGAAGTGTTCAAAGTCCTTTTGAAAGATGCGCTTTATAATTTGATTGTCAACAGGAAAATATGTTGGCCAGATGAACTTATACCCTCCAGCGTGCCTTAGTCCTTTCTCTTTAATCCTCCTATATGTTCGAATAACCAGTTCATCTCGACTCACTTCCTCTTTTGGCCACGTTTCAGGCTCTGGTTCTAAGATTGGCAGTCCTTTTCTCTGCCAATACGTTTTGCACCATTTGTAGTACAAGTACCCTACAAGCCAGATGGTAATTATGATCGTAGCCAAATTGAAAATCGTGTCCATATTTTTCTCTCCTAAAAATGAATCTGTTATTTGCGATTTATTAGTCAGCCAGAGTTAGTAGCTTCAAAAAAATGTGACTAATTTTATTGCCAAGTAAATCCAGGAAAAAGTACGAATTCGTATACAAATGTTGTCAATCTGAATATGATTGCATACTTTTCCGATATATGTACAAAGTCGAAGGCACCTGCGTTATAGTCAAAGTACTTCATGAACATTTTTATTAAATATAAAAATATTCTAAAATACGTGCTTTCCTGTAGGTGACAACTATAATCCAATTGAAGCTTATAATTAAAATATCGGATGACAAAACGAAATAAATCGAGATCATTTGTGATAACTGAAACGAAACAAATGCATGTCATTGTTTAGAAAATATGTTGTATGTCGTCCAAAATTTTGAACGATATCGTATTTTTTTTTCATATTCGAATGGTATAGGTTGTGTGCAAGTAGTAGGAGTGCATCAGTTTTGTAAAATGCCTCAATTTGTTAAAAAAATTTTAATTTGCCAAATGCAGATGCAAATGAATGCATTTTTAATGTGAGTTGGTTTGCTTACTTGTATTTATGAACTGTTTAAAATATGGAATATAAAACGGTACGGGAAAGTTACTTTCCCGGCTACTGGCATCTGATGGTGGCTTAGCCACGAATTAATCTATTAGAATGCTATATTTTGGGATCTGAAATTGCATCGAAAATAATACCGAATTTACTTTCAATATATAGTTTATTTTAAAATTACGTATCAACTAAAAATAGTTGTTTTGCACGTTCTTTATCTTATTATTTAAGGTTGCATATCATTCAGTCATATTTGCCTTTTTATTAGTCGGTGATAAGTTTTATGCTACTCACTTCATTGTAGCGGATTCACCAGTAATTGTTATTTGTGAATATGATTTTTACCGAATAATTTTTTAAGTTACGTTTTTATAAATTTGGTTTCTGCAGCTTACCGGTTTCTAAAATATTGAATCATCGCTGTATGCTTTAATTAGAGTTGTTTACAGTTTTATAACATTTTAAATTCTGTTTTATTAATTTTGTTACAATTATTATTAATACACTTACCTCGAGAATTATATAAAAAACTAATATTTTTAGTTAGATGGAATCAGCACTGATTACAATCATATACAAATGGTACCGTTACAGCTGTGCTGACTATTTATTCCTATCTTTATCTAACGAGATAACTGTTTTATTTACTTTGCGATTTTATGATAACTGATTCAATACGCCATAAATATTGTTTACGTGATGACTGAGCCAAAAATTAAAAAAAAATCCTACAACATCGGCCCATATAATTTTTTTTAAATATAAAAGTAACAGAGTCAAATGTCAAATGACTCAAATGTTATGTTAACCATTACTTCGACTTGATAATGAACTTTGAATGTTATTTGAAAGCATCATGGCATTCCTTAAGTAATTTTAGTTAAAAAAAAGTAAAAAGTCAAAAAGATCAATACTTATGCATCCAATAAAATCTCATATTGAGAAATACATAAATACGAGCATATCCCTGTAGATAGTGTAATATACTGACTTTTCGAAAAATTTTCTTCATCCGTTTTCAAAACATATATTTTTTACTCAAACGCCAAATATGACGAGTTTAAAATTTAATAATTATCTTACTTGTTTCTGAGGATTCTCGGACTGATCAAAATTTAAAGAGACATTAGAGACATATTTATTTTCATTATCGTATCTTCACAATAATAATAATAGTCTCTATAATTGTTTGGTTTTGTTTTATTGTTTTTATGTGGTTTCTTTTTAATAGTCTGATAGTTCTCTCAACCGTGCTCACAAATTTTTGATTTTTCGTATTCTTTCTTGTTTATATAATTTTAATGCCGAAAATGTAATTCTTTGAATTTCGATCGGTATTTTTTGGTCACGAAACGTTTTGTTCGTTTTTATCAGTATAGCCGTGACGGTCGCATTGTACCAGGTAAGGTTTTACAATGGACCAGTTTCCAGTGTCGTGCAGAAGTATATTTTTAAATGCCCTTTTTGATTTTACAAACTTGTATTTATAAGAGTCTCATGTATAGCCAGAATTTTTTTTAAATAAGTCCTGAATCACCCTGTATATTTTAATTTCTGCCTTATTGTTAACTTGGTATTAAATTATTTACACCTTAGCGTATAGTGCAGGCGCTCACTACTTGTATTTATCTTAATATTATATTTTTTTTTTGTTTTTTGTGATTTTAATTTTTGCCCTGGTTAATCCATATTTTCTTTATTGGAGATAATACCCTCAATAAAAATATTTGTATTTATACCGTATTATTTCTTTTAATTAACCTCGTTTGGTATATTTGGGGGTTAATCAACGTCGGTGTTCGTTGAGGTAAATATACCTGGCGCTCAAAACAATCTCTATACAATGAACCTCACCTTTTCCACTCAATACTTGGGGAGGGGGGGGGGGGCGAATATTTAATAATTTAAACATATATTAAGGTGGACATATCCCAGGCCGAGAAATAGTCAAATTTCTGGCGTTTTTAGGTACTGAAATCTTGAAAAGTAAAACGTGTAGAACAAAAGTAAGCACAAAAATTAAATCCTTTATTCATTGTTACTATTTAAATTTACTCAAATCAAATAATAACTAAAAAAGCGTTTGCAAAACATGCGTTTGATGTTATTCTAACCCCACATTTTAAGAATTATTTTCACGTACTGATAAATAAAAGTAAACAATTTTATATGTAGGACAAAGCAAGTAAATGTTATAAGAATATTTACATGTGGAGTTATATCTAAAAAAGTTAGTATTATCGTAGATTTCAGTACCTAAAACCTTGATGGTTTCATCGTTTTTTGCACCTGTTTATTCGTTTTACTGCGGCGTCTTTGAAAATACCCAGATGGCATGACATAACATTCCTATTATTTGTTAAGCTTTAGACTTTAAATTATTCCGTTATTAAATGTTTGAAATGATTTGTCTTTGTGGAAAACACAATTTAAAGAATATGACGCCCTTAATATAAGCTTTCTGGATGATTCTGAACGAGTTTTATCCATGAAAATATTTGATAATCTGAACACAAGCACCTTCATTTTGCGAGAAAATTTAGTGCCACAGTTTGAAAGAGCACACTATAATCAACAGGAGTATCACTGAATGTGTCAGATGATAACGTAATAAAATAATCTAAACCGCAAATGCCTAGGTACCTACTTATCAAGCAACAATAGTAATAAGAATTATAGTGAGTTGTTCCACTGTTTACCTCGACAGAACCTGTAGGAAAAACAATATTAAACTTTGGTAATGTAAATCGTAATTATAATTGCTATCACGTTAAGTAGCATTTAAATGTCAATTTTAAAAGTGTTTTGCTTATCAAAAATATTCAAGTACCGTCAGTAGATTTATCTATCAATTTTTTCTAGTAATAAACCTGGCTATTACTTATTCTTATTACACATTTAAAATTTAGCAAGAAATTTTATTTCTTATTGCAGCAAAAATATGGAAAATAAATATTTAATAATTTTAGTAAATTTAATATTTATAGTGAGTGGTGCCGCTTCTGAAGAGGATACGCTCTTATCGGTGGTGCAGGTAATATATCATTCCTTTTATGATTAAATATAAAAAATTATTTTAATTAAACATTAATTACATAATTTGTCAGCAGTCATGATTAAATTCATGCCTATTGAAGAAAATATTCTCAAAAGTTCAGGAGAGCAACCTTAAAACATAAAAATAGTTTTACATAAGTGTATCTTTCAACATATTCTAGATATGGGAAAATGATAGATTCTCAAGAATATTTACATTTTTTGTGATGGGGCCACACTTACGTCTAATGCCGTTAATTTATCATCGTCGTCATTAATGGCGTTAGACGTTAGGCGATAATGCTGGGGCCACACTAACGCCTAATGCCGTTAATTATCGCACTATCTTGCATTAAACGCAGGTGTAACCACAACTTATCCGCTAATTTATCATCGTCATTATTAATGGCATAAGACGTTAGGCGATAACACATATTTTTTTTACACATGAAAGCGATTTGCGCGTCATTGATGTGGCTACACTAGCATTGGCTATTGCAACGCATTAAAGCTTCGGGAATGGTTTAATACTGTTGTATAAAAATGGAGGGGTCCAACGAAAAAGTAATAGAGTTTTTAGAAGTGTTTCAAAGGGATCCTAGACAAAAAGCATAACATAATAATTGACACTCATATATGTAATACAACTGTAAAACGGCCTCAATATCCGTGATGAAATTATTTTATCAAATTACGCGTTATTTGTTGAGTAGATACAAGTGTAGCTATTCACTTTGCCGCGTAATCTATTATTTTTAACGCAATAATCATCGCGATAATGGACGCTACACTTTAACGTAAGCATTATACCAATAAGCAACAGCTACAAAGCTAATTAATTTTCAGGCATTTAGACATGGTGAAAGAACTCCTGTTCTGTTCTACCTTACAGATCCTTACAAGGACAGTTCTTATTGGGATGGTTTGAGTACTGGCCAACTTACGAACGTAAGTACCTACTTATATTTTCAAGTGTGATATGTAGATAAATCTTTTTGTCATATATGCTTAATTTTCAAAAAATGAAGTTTTGTTAGCATAAAGGGTACCAAAGAAAACACTATAGAGGGTGTCTCACCATAACTCAATAGATGGATATCTGGGAAACCGCTGGAAGAGTTTTTTTGAAATTGTGACTGTGTGATACAGGCCGTGAGGCCTAGCAAGCTAAAATATTTTCAAGATCATTTTCAAGGTACTTCCGGTTATAGTGGAAGTCGATACAACTTTCTTATTTTAAATTGAACCCCCTATATATTATTGCATTTTTGGAAAGAGTATTTATTTTTAAGTTGAAGACATATATCACTCTCCCTACTTAGGGTTGACCGTTTTCGAGATATTTTGATTTTTAGGCAAACATTGACAAATGCAGACTATCATTTTTTGTGCAAATTGGACATTTTGTGGAAGAAGGCCCAATTAATCGCAAATTTTTCAGTTTTTATACAAGGTGGTCAAAAAAAATTATCGATATGAAGTTCAGAAAATGTGGAAAACTCGAAATTTTTAAAAGGAAACCCCAAATTTTTCTAATGTATTTGCATTATAAACTAAAATTGAGAGTTTGTTAAAGTTTCCATATACCTAAACCCAGTGGTTTTCATTTTATTTCTGAATAAACATTTCCCTTTTCCTAAAATGGTGTTTCCATTTGTTTCGCACATTTTGGGTTGGCCTTGACAGGTAAGTAACAATTAACATGACAACTGTCACAGGTTTATTCATTTCTGTGAAGAAAACCTAAATGGTAAACAGGTATTTTTTTGAGTATTTTTTTAATTTCAGACCAATTTTTTGTGGGTGAGCGCTACTTAAATATTTTACAATATTTTGAAAATAACTATTTACAAAATTTACCTTTCGATAATTACAGATAAGTATTTTATCAACATGTTACCTTGTTTGCAAAAACTGTTTGATGATCAGTGGATTGCCAGCAAGGGACCGTTTTTATGGCCGCCTCACTCACCAGATTTATCTGCGCTGGATTATTTTATTTGGGGGATAATAAAAAATAGTGTGTATTATAGTACTACAGTCACAACAAAGGAAAATTGTATGCATAGAATAAGGCAAGCACTTGAGCATCTATCACCGGATTCTATTAGAGCAGCGATCCACAAGGAAATAATCCGAAGGTGTGAAAAATGTTTAGAAGTTGAAGACATTTTGAACATTTATTAACATAAATTTGACAATTAAAAACCTGTAACAGTTGTCATGTTGATTGTTACTTACCTGTCACGGCTAACCTAAAATGTGCGAAACAAACGGAAACACCATTTTAAGAAAAGGAAAATGTTTTATTCGTAAATAAAATGAAAACAAAAATTTTTATATCATATCCGATAAACTAGGTTTTTGTCTACAAAATGTCCAATTTGCACAAAAAAATAAACCTATGTTTCGGGAAAACTAAATCTTGCTAAAAATTAAAATATATCGGAAACGGTCAATCCTAAGTATGGAGTGTGCTGTATGTTTTCAACTTAAAAATAAATACTCTTTTCAAAAATGCAATACTATATAGGGGGTTCCATTTAAAATAAGAAAGTTGGTATCGACTTACCGGAAGCACGACGACCTTGAAAATATTTTAGCTTGGTACCACAATCCTTCGAGCGGTTTTCAGGTATCCATCGATGCAGTTCGGGGTGAGACACCCTGTGTAGGACAAAAAAATGTTTTATCTACTTTATCACGGTCCCTTGAAAAAATATTTGTTTAATTAAACAAAGCAAACAAACAAATATAACTTACAATTTTTGACACAATTAGCATAAAAAGAACGACAGTTAAAATAAGTTCATCTTTAAAAAATAATAATAAAAAACAATATTTTAGTGCCACCATGCATTGCCATCCAAACCAAAGGTTTATGCAAAATTTCAGCTCAATCGGTTGGGGATAACTGTTTTAAAATTGTAGTAATAATAAAGGAAAATAACAAGATTTATTGAAAATATGAATGAGACAATTTCTTCAATTTGTTTACAGGAAAGCTGATAACATATTCTACTGAATATTTTTAGAAAATATAAATTGTGAGAAGGGAATGATATTTTGGCAGCAGATAAAACGAATAAAACTCAAATACTCCACATATATTATTTGTTTAAGATAAATAATAGATAAGCCGCTAAACTTTAGAAGCACTTTTCGCATGTCACTGAACACCTGAAGATATAATTAAATAAATATCCATGTCAGGACTTACCGATATCTAATTGCGTAAAGCTCGTTGAAACAATAAAAATAACTACGTTTTCAACAATTTTAATTACTGCTATGAATTTATCAGCTTGTTTACAGCTTCCTCTTATCTTTTATCGTGCTTAATTTTAATTAAATCTAAAGCACTAATTCCTAAAACATGACGTCTTTCCTTGAAATTTCCAATTATGTGAAGTATTCACTTTTGTTTCGACTGAAACGCACCATCATCGTCATAAAACTATTCTTAGTAATTACTGATAATATCAATGAGGACTGATTAAATAGAGCTTACTTTATTTATCATCATGCTTTGAATTTTAAAGCTGAACAAAAACTATTACGCAGAAAGTTAGAAATGTGCATACTTAATTATAATAAAAATTATTAACATACAGGGTGTTAATTAAGTATGTACAATATTCAAAAAGTTCATATAAACATTCATTTTTAAATCCAGTGACGTCCCGAACGGTACCTTAACGAATATTTTTGACAAAAAAAATGTACGCCACTGACTTTTTGTAATTTTTATATATTTTTTTTTTGAATAAAGTAACTAAAAATACAACTTTTTTTGTTTCTTGAATGTATTTCGTATCTTGATTAATTTTTAGAGAAAAAAAATAAAATCCACTTGCATATCCCTAGACCACACAAGAAACAATATTAAAATTATTTGTTAAGGTACCGCTCGGGACGTCACTGGACAAATCTAATCAAGCTAGGGTTAAATTAACCACTTAACACTACAAATAACACTGCCAAATTACAACAACATTGGGTAAAGGGTGTTTAAGAAATTTAAGGAACAGCATTTTTTTTACAAAAGTTTAACACCCTGTATCTTGAAAACGAAGCATCTGCGGACCAATGTTTATATGAACTTTTTGTCTTAAAATCACTCAAATAATCGTCGGTTAAATTTATTGTACATACTTAATTAACACCCTGTATAATAATATATAACATAATTAGAAAAGGAAACGTGAGGACTGAGGAATATGTATATGTATCAAAAACCGTTGGTTGAAGCAATGGTGTCATGCACTATCGTGAGAGTTTGTTAGAAAATTATCTCTTTTGGGTCTCATCAAAACATTAATTTTTTTTATTCATATCTAGCCAACAGACGTTTGAAGCGCTGCGGCTTTAGTTTTGTTAAGATCCTATCAACCTCAGAAGATCCTCAGGGTTCTACATTGATACTCTTTACAGTTTAGTTTAGTTTGATGGGCTAATAGCTGTTTTACATTGACAATTTATTGATCAACTAATTCATGAAGTCGCTTCATCAAGAAATTGGACAAGTGTAACGCATCAAATCCGCTGTCAAATAACTTGAATGAATTTATTCATCAAGTTCTTGACGAATTAGAGCATGTTCTAATTTTCGTCAATTTCTTCGTGAAGTTCGGAAGTACCAACCCAACAGATTTCCAGTCTCAGATCAGTAATGAGGTTATGTTATTGGAATATGTAAATAATTGTGTGGCGTCGTACTAGTTTTGCATTGTTTTTACTGATTTGTTACTTACAAACACTAATATTTATATAATATGTGTCAAAACGGTACCGTTGTTGCTTCTTTGATTCGTTGGTAGAACTGATTCATGCGTCAAGAAACTTTATAAAGTCTGTAGCAATGTAAAACCACACTGTTTACCAATAAATTCGTGAATTAATTCATGAAGAACTTATTCATCAATAAGTTGTCAATGTAAAACAGCTATAAGGCCCTCTATACACATCCGGCAAAGTAAGATGCAGTACCATTACGTAGACGGAGTTGTACGTTACCTTGATGGATGTGCATAGTACAACTGCAAAGCTGAAGTATTGTAGCGACCTTTGTATTGATCTAAAAATTTTTTCAACAGCGTTGAGACTTTAAACACAGATTATACATAGTTTTACTTTACGATAAAGGTGTTAAACCATATAATTAACAATTAAACTAACTAGTATAAACCTACGGAATTCTTTTGCCTCGCAAAACACGTCTTTTGTACTTCGTAATGAACTTCTTCCAACATATTTACATTTTAAACACATTAGCACACCTAACGTCGTTACAAACTATTGACATAATCTGTTTCAGTATGGAAAGATACAGCTGATGGAACTGGGAAAATATTTTCGAGACAGATATGACGGCTTCGTGTCCTCAAGTTATTCAGAAGACGAAATCTACGTAAGGACAGTAAGCGGTAAGCGGAACCTTCTCTCCGCTGAAGCATTTTTAGCAGGACTCTACCCCGACGAAGAGGTTGACATGAAAGTACACCAAGCGCCCATCGCCGTCGTAGGTAATTTGCAGGATTGCCTGCGTTACGATATTGAATGGTTGGAGTTGGAAGCCACTAATGAATACTTTAAGAAAATCAATGAGGATAACAGTGAAGATTATAAGTACATTAGAGAAAATAGTTTGTTCCCAGTATATGGCCTCGAGACTGCTTACGGCATTTGGGATACTTTACATATCGAAAAGAGATTTAACTATACTCTACCAGAGTGGACAGATAGTGTGTTTCCAGAAAAACTTACAAAGATGTCGGATATATATGCACAGTCGTTGTGTTACGACGAGAATCTACAAAAGCTTGGTAAGCAAAGTTTGTTTTTCTTCATTGATTTTGACCTACCTAAGTGTTACTAATTTCGTTTTAACTTTTAGGTGCAGGTGGTTTTATTAACGCATTGATAGACCATTTCGATTCCATCCTGACGAGTGACCCTTCGCAGAAAATACAGCTCTATAGCGTGCACGACACCAACATTGCTTGCTTCCTGAACGCATTTGATGCCTTCAGTGAACCTCACATTCCGGACTTTGCTAGTAGCTTGATATTTGAACTGAGGCAAGACAGCAAGGGCAGTTATGTTAACAGCTATTATAAACCTGCAAACGAGGCGGTCCCAATAAATTTGAGGGGTTGCGCCTTTGATTGTAGGATTGAAGATTTCAGAACTTTATTTAGTAACATTAAGCTCAGTGAAATAGAGTGGGTTGAAAAGTGTTACACACCACTGTAAAAATAGCTTTACAGACATAATAAATGAGAGTATTTCTTAACTAATTGTCTTATTTTGTGAAATATTTCCTTTATAAAAATATTCCAGAAATTATTTAAAAAATAATAACCATTTAAGACGTAAAGATAATATTTTACATTACGTTATCCGAGTACAAAACGTTTTTAAGTCTACTGTTCAGAACATTAAGAGCCACTCCAATAAAACACTATTAAACTAGATATACATTTCTGTAGATGACCTAAACATATCATATTTGGTAAAGATTTAATTATTATTTTAGTTTCAGATGAAATGATGATGATTATTTTTGGTATGTTAGTCCAACCGAATTACACTTGGAGAAAAAAAAAATTGTTACCTGGACTTTTATAAGTGGAAATGGTAAAAGGGCTTATAATAAACCTAAAAAAATTAAATGCGTGGGCAGGGGCGGCGGAGGGTTGATTTGGGGGGTTGAAAAGTTATGAAAAATTGTATCATTGGGATTTCTGGCGAAAGTTGACGTCAAACAAAAAAGTATCCATACAAAAGTTGTAGATCATGCAAAAATCTACAACTTTTGTAGAGGTCACTTTTTAACGTAACCTCAAAATTTCCGAGAAGAATGCAAAAAACAGGTTTTTTTCTGATTTTTCGTTTTTTATTTCTCATTTCCGCAAAAATAATTTAATTTTGACGAAACTTGGTGAAAGTATACCTTTCTCTGTCTTAAATAACATCAATTTTTTTTAGATAAAAAAATCAAGAAGTTTCTGAAATATTCATTTTTTTCGGCCTGAAACACTTTTTTTTCAAAGAAAAATTCTACTTAAAAAAATAATCGTACAGAGTTCTGCCCGTAATCATTTTTTTCGTTTTGACATATAATTTTTGGTGAAATAAAAAAATCTGTAATATTTCAAAAACATGCTCAAAAATGCAAAAAAGTAAAAAATGACTTGCAACAATGAATTTTTCAGTTATTGTTGATAATTAGTTTAAATTAAAAAACATTCAAAAACTGATTCAGCGTCAGTGTCAACTGTGTCTCATTGTTTGACCCAAAACTTTATTTTTGTACAGTATTGCTATAAACATCTAAGTCGAATTACGAATGCGCAAATGATAAATTATATCAGGATGATTTGAGATTTCAGCAATATAAAGTATTGCAAAGTTTACTGTTGACGCGAAATCCGAAAACCCGAAATTTTGCAAAATCGTTTAATTTTTTTCTGGCTTTATTTGAAAACGAATTAATCTGTAGATTTTTGCATGATCTACAACTTTTTTATTGAATACTTTTTTGTTTGACGTCAACTTTCGCCAGAAATCCCAATGATACAATATTTCATAACTTTTCAACCCCCCAAATCAACCCTCAGCCGCCCCTGCTCACGCATTTATTTTTTTTTCGTTTATCATAAGCCCCTTTACCATTTCCACTTATAAAAGTTCAGGTAACAATTTTTTTTTCCCCTCTAAATGAATTATTTTGATCGGTCTATCAGTAGTAGTAGTTCAGTACTTAGTTGAACGTTCTTAATGGTCCATGGTAAAACTGAATCGCGGTGAGTGTAATGGGGTAAATTTGGTACAGGTTAAACGATTTCCCGGCTGGTTGTCAAGTGGCCGATTTACAACTCTTAACGTTTCGAGAGACATATCGCTTTCTTCAGAAGTTACTCTTCAGTTTCAGAGTAACTTATTGCAACTGGAAAAAATATTAATTATGTTCCATCATTTTGGGACATACTGTATAAGTAATAATAATAATTTGATATGAAACAATCGAAAATAAATAGAATTATTCCTTCAGCATGAAATACTATTTATGACATGCAATTTTTTACACATGGAGACAATTTTCAATTTAGCTACGGTCGTAGTTACCATTTGGCTTGTCGGATACTTATACTACAAATGGTGTCTGTCCTACTGGCAAAGAAGAGGACTGCCTGTCTTAACACCAGAGCTTGTAAAATCAACAAAAGAACTAAGTCCAGGTGAAATCATCCTTCAAACATATAGGTGGATCAAGGAGCAAGGATTGAGACACGCTGGAGGTTATAAGGCCATTTGGCCAACGTATTTTCCAGTTGACAATGAAATTATAAAATGTATCTTTCAAAAGGATTTCGAACACTTCATGAATCACGGAACATATCTGAATGAAAAATTTGATCCCTTGTCGGGACACCTTTTCAACTTAGAAGGTAGTAAGTGGAGGAATATTCGTGCGAAACTTACATCGACTTTCACATCTGGTAAGTTCATGCCTTTTCGGCAAGTAATAGCTTACAGGCGAATGTTACAGTTTACAGCTTATTGAACTAAAAGAAAGGAAATAAAAGAGTATATTTTTGGTACATTGTTTTCCATACTTTATTAAGATGAAACAGCTAAATCAAAATAAATCTGGCTCTCTCTCACATATTTGAGTCGCTTCTTATTTTCTTAGTTAATTTTTAAAAGCATATTATTAATTTAAAGCCACTTTCAATATAAAACATTAAATTCTGTTCTTTCAGGAAAAATGAAAATGATGTTTCCAATATTCGTGGAATGTAGCGATGGCTTAGAAAAATTACTGGACCAATACGTCAAAAATAAAGAACCTTTGGACACCAAGGAAGTGGCGGCACGTTACACCACTGACATCATAGGATCTGCTGCTTTTGGTATTAAATGTAACAGCCTCGTAGATCCCGAAGCAGAATTCAGAAAAGTTGGACAAAAAATCTTCATTTTCGATCGTTTAAAAATGTTCAAATATACCTTGGTTGCTGTAATCCCCAGAAGCATCTTGGTAGCATTTGGTTTGCGTATAACTACAAAAGAGCTGGAGAATTTTCTAAAGAACGTTATAAGGGAAAATATTGCATATAGAGAAAAGAATAAAGTATTACGGAAAGACTTCTTACATTTGCTGATTCAGCTGAAAAATGAAGGTAAAATCAATGACGACGATTCCTTCCCTTCTGAACAGAACGGACAGAAAGTTGAGAGTGGAACTTATATGACGTTCGACGAAGTTACTGCCCAGTGTTACGCATTTTTCATAGCAGGTTTCGAAACATCTTCGACGACTATGACGTTTGCGTTATATGAGTTGGCAGTGAATCAAGACATTCAGGATAAAGTTAGAAAAGAAGTAAACGAGGTTCTGAAAAAATATGATAATAAATACACATATGATGGTATAAATGAAATGATCTACTTGGAAAAAGTTTTTAATGGTTAGTGGTTACGAGTTATAAATTATTTTGCCTCATTTACATATTTGTAGCTGTAGCTCTACAGTTGTTCTAATTATTCTGTAACTTTTCTAGAAACCCTTAGAAAATATCCTCCGATACCAGGGGCTCCGCGAGTGTGTACCAAAGATTATACCTTCCCTGGAACAAATGTAACTATAGAAGCTGGAACCCATTTCCAAGTACCCATAATAGGGGTCCACTATGATNTTTTTTTTGCAATTTTAGGAGGGGCGTAACTTTTCAGGGGAGAGTTTTTTCAGAAAATTTTAGACCAAAGACCCCTATTAATTTTCATCGGAGAATCGCCCCTTGAATTTTTTCGGTGTTATTTAGATACACCCTGTATATTTTATAGTATAAACAGATAACTCTTCTAAAGACGAATTCAACGATATAAAGTGATACCTACTTTTTTGTAATAGTTGTCAAAAAAATTGTCTTTTATATGAATAAAGCAAAAATTCTTTTTAAAAACAAGATTGGTATAGTTTTACAATTTAATTTTGGCTTGGATTATGTCAATGTTACTTAGAGAACTAAATAAAGGAGGATGTTCTAGCACAACTTCACTATTATAACAATAACTTGAAAACGAAAAAAGATATTGACCTCCGGTTTGTGTATTTGTTTTCTATAATGAATGGTCTATCAAGCCATGAAAAAAAACCTATATCGTTGCATTTTTTTTAGTAAACGGAGACAATTACAAAACTTTTCTCATTAGCGTCGTTTACCGTTGCGCCGGAAAATAATATTTTCATTCCTAGATCACAAAAATAAATTTTATTAATAGTTCTTTAAAATGAGCCATCGTTTATTGAAATTGATTAAGGAATTTAAAAGTTATGACAATTTAAAAATTTCAAGATAGCGCCATCATACTGACGTTGCTATGGTAATAACAAAAAAAAAAGTTCACACAAAACTTGTGAAGGGTTTAACAGTGTATCTAAAAAATGTATTTTCAACTTAGGTTATATAAGCGAACTTTCGAAAAACCGACAATTTTCTGTAACACTATAGCAGTTGCGCCCCCTAGCGGTGAAGTTACAAACTTGAAAATATTTTAAATCAATTTATTTTGGTCGTATTTGTTAATAGATTTATATACAGCCGCTCGATACCGTTAATGGATCACCCTGTAGAACGTCCTATTAAAAAAACATGTCGGTAATGTTATATGTCTGTCAAACATAGCTAAAAAAAAAAACAGAAAATACTGCAACTGGAAAAAAATATTAATTATGTTCCATCATTTTGGGACACACTGTATAAGTAATAATAATAATTTGATATGAAACAATCGAAAATAAATTGAATTATTCCTTCAGCATGAAATAATATTTATGACAAGCAGTATTACAAATAATTCTTTTATAATAATAAATGGCAAATAAATAATTTATTTAGGAATAATTCAACTCTTTTGTTTATAACATAGTTACCATTTGGCTTGTCGGATACTTAACTACAAATGGTGTCTGTCCTACTGGCAAAGAAGAGGACTGCCTGTCTTAACACCAGAGCTTGTAAAATCAACAAAAGAACTAAGTCCAGGTGAAATCATCCTTCAAACATATAAGTGGATCAAGGAGCAAGGATTGAGACACGCTGGAGGTTATAAGGCCATTTGGCCAACGTATTTTCCAGTTGACAATGAAATTATAAAATGTATCTTTCAAAAGGATTTCGAACACTTCATGAATCACGGAACATATCTGAATGAAAAATTTGATCCCTTGTCGGGACACCTTTTCAACTTAGAAGGTAGTAAGTGGAGGAATATTCGTGCGAAACTTACATCGACTTTCACATCTGGTAAGTTCATGCCTTTTCGGCAAGTAATAGCTTACAGGCGAATGTTACAGTTTACAGCTTATTGAACTAAAAGAAAGGAAATAAAAGAGTATATTTTTGGTACATTGTTTTCCATACTTTATTAAGATGAAACAGCTAAATCAAAATAAATCTGGCTCTCTCTCACATATTTGAGTCGCTTCTTATTTTCTTAGTTAATTTTTAAAAGCATATTATTAATTTAAAGCCACTTTCAATATAAAACATTAAATTCTGTTCTTTCAGGAAAAATGAAAATGATGTTTCCAATATTCGTGGAATGTAGCGATGGCTTAGAAAAATTACTGGACCAATACGTCAAAAATAAAGAACCTTTGGACACCAAGGAAGTGGCGGCACGTTACACCACTGACATCATAGGATCTGCTGCTTTTGGTATTAAATGTAACAGCCTCGTAGATCCCGAAGCAGAATTCAGAAAAGTTGGACAAAAAATCTTCATTTTCGATCGTTTAAAAATGTTCAAATATACCTTGGTTGCTGTAATCCCCAGAAGCATCTTGGTAGCATTTGGTTTGCGTATAACTACAAAAGAGCTGGAGAATTTTCTAAAGAACGTTATAAGGGAAAATATTGCATATAGAGAAAAGAATAAAGTATTACGGAAAGACTTCTTACATTTGCTGATTCAGCTGAAAAATGAAGGTAAAATCAATGACGACGATTCCTTCCCTTCTGAACAGAACGGACAGAAAGTTGAGAGTGGAACTTATATGACGTTCGACGAAGTTACTGCCCAGTGTTACGCATTTTTCATAGCAGGTTTCGAAACATCTTCGACGACTATGACGTTTGCGTTATATGAGTTGGCAGTGAATCAAGACATTCAGGATAAAGTTAGAAAAGAAGTAAACGAGGTTCTGAAAAAATATGATAATAAATACACATATGATGGTATAAATGAAATGATCTACTTGGAAAAAGTTTTTAATGGTTAGTGGTTACGAGTTATAAATTATTTTGCCTCATTTACATATTTGTAGCTGTAGCTCTACAGTTGTTCTAATTATTCTGTAACTTTTCTAGAAACCCTTAGAAAATATCCTCCGATACCAGGGGCTCCGCGAGTGTGTACCAAAGATTATACCTTCCCTGGAACAAATGTCACTATAGAGGCTGGAACCCATTTCCAAGTACCCATAATAGGGGTCCACTATGATCCGGAATATTATCCAAATCCAGAAGTTTTCGACCCCGAACGGTTTAGCGAAGAAAATAAAGCTAAGAGGCCAACCTACACACATATTCCATTCGGAGAAGGACCAAGAATCTGCATAGGTAACACATATTTTAGCTTTTTTTAACTTCTACTAGCCTACGACGTCTGTTCAGAAAAGTATCCAACATTATATTTTTAAACTTTATTATTAATTTTATACATATTTGGTCCTTGTCTTCTTCAAAGTACTCTCCAATCCTATTCGCACTTTTCCCAGCGCGAAGCAGTTCAGGATAGCTTGATTAGAAATGGCCTATAAAATATTTGACGAATTTGCTTTGATGTTAATCGTCTGAACACGGCGTCCTTTCAGTAGCGATTTTAATTTCGGAAATAAGAAAAAATCGCAAGGAGGGCGAAGGAGTTCAATAATCCCATTTTTGGCACAAAACTAACGGATTCACAAAGCTGTGTGTGCTGGCCCATTGTTATGGCAAGAACCATGAGTTATCTTTAACAACTCTGGTCTCTTTTTGCGGACGTAATCGTTGTAAATCGCTTTGATAGTACACACGCTTCACTGTTTCACCTTGAAGCAAGAATTCAAAGTACATAATTCCATTAAACTAGAAAAAAGCATCACTTTGTGATTGGATCGAGACTGACGTGCTTTCTTGGGGCGTGGAGGTCCTATGCCAATCCATTCTGATGAATAAACTTTTGTCTCAATGTCGTAGCCATAAACCCAGCTTTTTCTCCCGTCATGATCCTTTGAATGAATGTTTCATCGACAATGAATTGTTCAAGAAGTTCCTCATCAAATGAGGAAAAAAATTGCTGCAACTCGATGTATGTTCAATTTTTCTGTCAAAATTTCATGTCATAACCAAAATGGGATGCTAACCTCTTTTGCAATTTCTCTAACAATCATTCGGCGTCTTGCACGTACCAAATCTTTGACTTTCTGAACGTGTTAGTCATAAGTTGAAGGTCTTCCTGTTCGAGGATCATCTTCAATTTACTGACCACATTTAAATTGTGAAAACCATTCATAACATTGCGTACGACCCAGAGCATCATCATCTGCGTAAGCTTGTTGTTACAGAGAAGGTTGTGCGCAATACAATGCTGCCAACCGCATATCACTAAATATCTCCATTAGCGGTAATTCAGTAAGTTCTGTTACTTTCTGAACATACCTCGTATATTTTCTTGAGAAATGTCTTGAATTGCTGCTGGAGATCTACTTGTTACTTTACTGAGACTATTATATGTTTTAGGATTAAGATTTGGACGGATGCAAACCAAAGTGGGTCTGGCCAAGATTATACAGAACTTCAAAGTTACCCTAAATAAAAAAACCATATATCCACTAGAACTAAGCAAATCTTTTATCCTTTCTCCTAAGGGAGGCATGTGGGTAGATGTCACTAGAATTTAATAACTGGTTTACATTTTTTTAATATATATTTTGTATACATTGTTTATGATTTGATAAATACAAAACTACTCCACTAAAAATATATTTGTTGCAAGTTTAGGATTTCTTAAATAACATTTTTAGACAATTTTATACTACAGTATAAAAATAGTGTGTCTGAATATTATTAATACAAACATCTGCCATATTGAAATTGATAAATAATGTAATCTTTGAAAGAAATATCTTGTATTCTTGTTGTTCTAATTGTTGTCTATGACGTTAGATATGTTTTGCAAATCTAAATTTTTGGTACCGAATATGGTCAATATTGGAACTTTTTTTAAGCCAATAACACTTTCGCGACCAAAAATACCTATCGAAATTCAAAGAATTGCATTTACGACATTTCTCGTGAATGTAACAAACATTGTATCGGTGAAACTTACAGGTCTTTAACTGTTAGAATTGGTGAATATAAACAAGAAAGTATACGAAAAATAAAAAATATGTGAGCACAGTTGAGAAACTGTCAGACTATTAAAAAGAAATCCCATAAAAACAAAATAAAACCAAAAAATTAAAGAGACTATTATTTTGTTAAGATACGATAATGATAACAATAAGTGTGTGCCTCTTTAAATTTTGATCAATGCTGCGAGAATCCTCAGAAACAAGTAAGTTAATTATTCAATTTTAAACTATCATATTTGGCGTTTAAGTAAAATAATATATGTTTTGAAAACGGATGACGAAAATCTTTCGAAAAGTCAGCACTTGCTCAATGTGAAATTTTATTGGAAGTATAAGTATTGGGCTAATTGTTTTGAATTTTTACCTTTTTTATTCAGGGGTGGCAAATTATCAATAACGTCAATAAAATACAGTGTGAAGTGGTTTTATAATCGTGCAAATACTTATTTCCAAAGACGAGACTCCAAAATTATAGACAAGAATAAGTTTGTTAAAAAACAACCTCTTGTTAGGAACTTACTGTTCTTTAATTTTAATTTATAATGTGGCGAAATAACCAAAAAAAAACGAAAATTACTTAAGGAATGCCACAATAGTTTCAGACAACATTCAAAGTTCATTATCAAGTCGAAGTAATGGTTAACATAACAATTGACTCACCTTATCTTTGTTACATTTATATGTTTAGAAAAAAATTGTATGGGCCGATGTTGTAAGAATTTTTTTTGTGAATTTTGGCTCAGTCTAACGTAAACAATATTTATTACGTATTGTATCAGTTATCATAAAATCGCGAAGTAAATAAAAGAGTTATCCCATTTGATAAAGATACGAATAAATACGCAGCCTTACTGTACGATATCATTTGTATATTATTGTAATCAGTGATAGTTCCATCTAACTATAAACATTGTTTTTTTTATATTCTTACTCTTATACTTATTACTCGAGGTAAGTGTATTGATAAATTTTGTAACAAAATTAATAAAACAGGATTTAACATATAAAAACACTCTAATTAAAGCATACAGCGATGATTCAAAATTTCAGAAACCGGGAAGCTGCAGAAACCAAATTTATAAAAACGTAACAAAAAAAATATTACCAAAAATTATTCGGTAAAAATCATATTCACAAATAATAATTACTTGTGAATCGGCTATGAAGAAGTGAGTAGCATTAATTGTAAGAGAAATAAAGGAATTCACTACAAATACAGCTTTAAAATAGCTGCCTTTATTTTTTGTCTTATCTGAATCAAACATGTCATCGACTAACAAAAAGGCAAACATGACTTATGATATGCAACTTTAAGTAATAAGATAAAGAACGTGCAAAACAACTATTTTTAGTTGATACGTGATTTTAACATAAACTAAATTATTGAAAGTAAATTCGGTATAGATTAATTCGTGGCTAAGCCACCATCAAAAGTCAGTAGCAGGGAAAGTAACTTTCCCTTACCTGTTTTATCCATATTTTAGACAGAAAATAAATACAATCAGACAAACCAGCACACATTAAAAATACATTAATTTGCATTTTGAGAATTTGAGGCATTTTACCAAACTGATGTACTGCTACTACTCGCCTGCAACCTTTCCCATTCGAATATTTGAATAAAAAGCGATAACTTTCAAAATTTTCTGGACGGCGTGCAACATATTTTCTAAACTTTCATTTTATCATCTGGCATTTTAATCATAAGCTCCGTTCCCAAATCGTTAATGACATTTAAATTGAATTGATACAGTTCAGCACGACGACATGCATCGGCAACACCAACATTTTTGCCTTCATTGATTTACAGTTCTCACCTACAAGAAAGCACGTATTTTAGAATATTTGTATATTTAATAAAAGTGTTCATCGTGAATTTTGACTATAACGCAGATGCCTTCAACTTTGTGAATAAATCGGAAAAGTATGCAATCATATCATGACATTTTCAGATGGACAGATCCTTTTTTCTGCCAATAATGCGCGAAACATTTGTATGGGAATTCGTACTTTTTCCTGGATTTATTTGGCAATAAAATTAGTCACATTTTTTTGAAGCTGCTACCAAGTTTGGTTGACTATGAAATCGGAAATAATAGATTTATCCCTTCATTTTTAGGTGATAAAAATATGGACACAATTTTCAATTTAGCTACGATCATAACTACCATCTGGCTTGTTGGGTACTTGTACTGTAAATGGTGCAAGACGTATTGGCAGAGAAAAGGACTGCCAGTCTTAGAACCAGAGCCTGAAACGTGGCCAAAAGAAGAAGTGGCTCGAGCTGATCTGGTTATTCGAACATATAGGAGGATTAAAGAAAATGGACTAAGGCACGCTGGAGGCTATAGGTTCATCTGGCCAACATATTTTCCTGTTGACAATGAAATTATAAAGTGCATCTTTCAAAAGGACTTTGAACACTTCATGAACCATGGAACATACCTCAATGAGGAAGGTGATCCTTTCTCAGGACATCTTTTCAACTTGGAGGGTAGTAAGTGGAGGAACCTGCGTGCTAAGCTGTCACCTACTTTTACATCTGGTAAGAAAAGCGATTTTTGTTTTCTGCACTAAATAACAATACATAATTAATCAGACTTTGATGGATCGTATAGGAATTTTATCAGTTTATGGAACAGTCAGGTCAAGATAAACTATTTCCGCAACTCCTCAATCCCACAGATTTAATTATCTGCTTTTCTTATCTTATTAGTTAATTGTTTATGTATTTATGTTCTTTCAGGAAAAATGAAAATGATGTTCCCAATATTTGTGGAATGTAGCGATGGCTTAGAGCACTTACTCGATCAATGCATAAAAAATAACGAAGCCGTGGACATCAAGGATGTGGCGGCACGTTACACCACTGACATCATAGGATCTGCTGCGTTTGGAATTAAATGTAACAGTCTCATAGATCCAGAAGCAGAGTTCAGAAAGGTTGGACAAAAAGTTTTTGCTTACGATCGTCTTACAATGTTCAAATATACTTTAATAGCTTTGTTCCCCAAAAGTATCTTGGTAGCATTAGGAGTGCGCATAACTACAAAGGAGCTGGAGAATTTTCTAAAGAACGTTATAAGGGAGAATATTGAATATAGGGAGAAAAATAAAATAGTAAGAAATGACTTCTTGCATTTGTTGCTCCAGTTAAAAAATAAAGGAAAAATCACTGATGATGATTCGTTCACCCCTGATGGTCAGAAAGTCGACGGTGGTACTTACATGACGTTCGACGAGGTTGCTGCCCAGTGTTACTTATTTTTCATAGCAGGTTTTGAAACATCTTCGACGACTATGACGTTTGCGATATATGAGTTGGCAGTGAATCAAGACATTCAGGATAAAGTTAGAAAAGAAGTAAATGAAGTTCTAAAAAAATATGATAATAAATTCACATATGAAGCTATGAATGAAATGACCTACTTAGATAAAGTCTTTAATGGTTAGTATAATGGTGTTCAATTCATTATTTTCCCTTATTCAAATATCTCTAGTTGAATAGAAAATAGCATACTAAGTACTATAACTTTTCTTTAATCCGGTTGCAAAGTTCTTGTAAATGTTTCATTAATCTTTGTAGAAACTCTTAGAAAATATCCTCCAGTATCTGCAATTCCACGGGTGTGTACTAAAGATTATACTATACCTGGAACAGATATAACTATAGAAGCTGGAACCCATTTCTCTATTCCCATAATGGGGATTCACTATGATCCAGAATATTACCCTAATCCAGAAGTGTTCGATCCCGAACGGTTTAACGAAGAAAATAAAGCTAAGAGGCCGCCTTACACGCATGTTCCATTTGGAGACGGACCAAGAATCTGCATAGGTAACACGTTAATTTACCCACTATTATTTTAGGTAAGGTTAGTTTCCCTGAAAAAAACTAATAATACTATCGAAAATAACTACTCTGCGACGCTAGTCATGGTACCTAGAGATTAGTAGGTCGCTCTCTGTCAGTAAGTACAAAGCATGTTTATAACATATTTTGTAGATTGTATTTCACCCACACTTTCTTGATTGATCTATTTGCTACTTTACTGAGACTATTATATATTTTAGGATCAAGATTTGGACGGATGCAATCTCTAGTAGGACTGGCCAAGATCGTCAAGAATTTCAAGGTCACCCTGAATGAAAAAGCAATATATCCACTAAAATTTGACACTAAATCTCTCATCCTCTCCCCTAAGGGGAACATGTGGGTGAATGTCACTACGGTTTAATAGTTTCCTTATACATATTTAACAATTTAACAAATATAAAATATAACAATCATACAATATGGATCAAATTTATTTCCGCAGAGTTAGGGTTTATTACCTGAAGCTAGAAATAGATATCTAATTTTAAAATATTGTCTACACGCTTTTTTGAAACCTAAAAAAATATGCATAAAAAAGTTAAATGGAAATATAAATATCCTATAAATATCTAAAAGTAATTTTGGACAAAAATATAAACAAATATTTTACTTAATTTTTTGGGCGAGAACTTTACAATGACCTAAGAAAATAAGACAAATAAATTTTTAGAATATGAAGTTACAGGCAAGTATCGAACATTACTGGTTGAGCTAGTATCACATAAACTTTTCAATCCAGATATCTATTAGATATTTGAACTAATTGAAATTTGTATAGGTACATAATTTAATTTCTTTTCCTTAATATTAACCACATATTTAAACATAATACCTGAAACAGTAGTAATAAATATTTTAGATGTATTTTAAATGTAAACTTTATATTCCCAATAATAGTAGACATTGATTTATTATTATGTTGAAATTATAAAATTATGATATAAATAAATGTTGTAATGGTAAATACATAATTTTTTTTAATAAATTTTAAATTTAAAATACATAAAATAAATGTATAAATATTGTTTCTTATTAATTTTATAGTATATCATTTTGGATAATTATTTGCATTATTTATAAAAAAAAGTTATGACAAATATGGAGACTAGAGAAAGGTAAATATACGAGGACCTAAAAAAAATATACTTTCTAGTGTTGTTATAGATAAGTATGTGATTTTGAAGTAAATTGTATTACCAGAAATTAATTAGATTTTTTATTCAAGATGGCATAAATAGATAATAGTTTGAGAAGTGCTTTATCACAATATTTTATTTTACATTTCATTTTAAACATTTGTTAGGTATCAAGATTATTAAGAAAATCACTTTGAACGAGATAAAAATCAAAATCAACTGAACTAGACAAAACGTCTTTCCTCCTTCCTCCTAAGGGAGATATGTGGATAATATCACTAGTGTTTTTTGAAAAGTGTTTCCATAAGCATTTTTTGAAACAATTTCGCCTTTGGTCATATGAAGATTGCAAAAATGACTCTGAATTATTCAAACCTATATCAACTCGCTGACCTCTATACTATGTATCACTCAACATTGATTTGTCATCCATTGAAATTTAATTTTTTAGAGGCTTCTGACTCACAATTCTCGACTAATTCGCACATTTGCACTTAGTGCGCACTGACCTTTATTATTTGAACTGATAGTATAAGACGAAGATATACTCAGTTTTCATTTAGTGCAAAAGTGTAAATAACATTTTAACATGACTCTCGACAATTAGCTGGACGCAGTTCACAGTTTCTATGTTGAATTTGACTTTGTACGTTTAATATAAACAATATAATTGTATAGAGAATGGTGTTGTTCAGCACACAATAGATATCAGCGAGCGATTAGTTATCAGTTTTATATCTGATCAGTGTCGTGCTGAACGAAATTGAACTTAATTTTTTCTGTGATACTATTCATATGTTATCTCTACTTAACTTTGATTTTTAAATTGAATTAATATTATCTGTAAGCGCAAAATATGGTGTCTGGTTTCGTGAGTTCGATGGTAAAATTTCGTAAACTATAATTTTACTGGAAAAATTATATTTTTTGATAAAAAAAATTATTACTTTCAATATCTTGTTTCTGTAACCAGGCAACCAGTGTCATTATATCAGTAGTTAGAAAGCAAATCTTGTTACTATTAATTTGATAGAATTAAAATTTCTATCAGATATTTACACGTTAGACTAGGCGGTATCTGTTTTGGTTTGGGTGAATCGTATATCCACGGAGATTTTTGGCATTTTGACTTTCAAATATCACTAGAACATTTTGAATTTTTCAAAAAGCGTTTGAAAGCTTGAGAGCCCTTCTATATGTGATTAAATTTTCAAGTATCTAAAGGCCTTGGTTTTTGCCGTGCAAAATTTTGAAAATTTGCAATTTTTGTTTCAAAATCTGGATTGCAAAATTATTATGCAAAATCTATCTAACCGATTTTGATGAAATTTGGTGTGATGACTCTACATAGCATGAAGTTTTCTTGAGCCAAGTATGAAGGTCCTATCCCAACATAAAGACCCCAAAAAAATTCCCTAAAAAGTAATGTTTTTTAACCCCCATTTTTGACGATTTTTTCGATTTTTACAATAATAATCATGATTTATTCGATTTGTAACTAGTTGTATTGTATAAAATTTCAATTACAAACATTTTTTTCCTCTTCCATTTTCGCATAAAATTGACTCTTGAAAAGATATATAATTAAATAGGAAGAAAAATATGACATTTTTTGAATTTTTTTAACAGTTTGTGCCGCCAAAAGTTAAGCCCACGGTTTTTTTATGCGTATAGAAAAATGTTCATTCCTAGTGATATTTGAAAGCCAAAAATCTCCGTGGATATACGATTCACCCAAATATGGACCCTTTGAAACAGATACCGTCTGGACTACCTGTATAATATAAAATTTCTATAATAATTTTGATTCCTTACGTATGAAAGAGTCAACAAATATTTGTATTAGCGTACTATAAAAACATTTATTAAGAAAATAAAACCCCTATAAAATCAACAATTTGAAAGACTAATAAATTGTTAATTGCAACTCTATATTATTTCAGTAATTAATAAAAATGTCAACAAATTTATGAAATCATTTCTGTTACGCCATTGCATATAATAAGATAACACCCAAAATACAGTCTCATTTTTATTTGCGCTTGGCCTATCAGACGCAGATAAATGTACGAGTATATTGTTTTCTGAAGGTAATTTTGAAAAAATTGTGTAATTTTTATGGTACGTGATAACTTTATATATTTTTGTGTACTGCTTCTTCACTTTTGCTTATACACTGTCCCGCTTTTATTCAACAGCGATCTGCAAGGAAATATTGGTAATTCAATCATTAATTTTGCAGCCAAACATTGAAAATACACTATTAACAAAGTAAATGTTTTAGTAAATCGCACTTTGAATATAGTTTATACATGTATTGTAGCACCTAAATAATTAATAACGGATACTTTTTTAAATAAAGCGATGTTATTCCATAAAAAAAACTGAACTCAGATTCGTCATTTTTATGAAACTTCCATTAAAAATAATATTTTTGTTGTTTTAAAATAGTGTTAATAATGTGCTTTCAAGACGGCTTTCTGAATATGTAAATTTTCAGATGTTAGTAGACGATAGTAATTTAACTGTAACTTATCCATTTTTAGTTTTAGATAATAAATATGGATGTGACCATATTCATCGCCTTAGTGATCGTGATCCTTCCTCTAACATATATTTACTTAAAGAAAAAATATTACACATATTGGGCAAAACGAGGTGTGCCCTACATTGATCCAAAATTTTTTTATGGAGACGGTATGAAAATCCTTAAAGGTGAAATATCACACGCGGAACAATACTTAGAATTTTATAAGCTATTTAAAGCAAGGGGGGTCAGACATGGAGGTATCTACATACTGTTTAGTCCGGTGTACATGCCAATAGATCCGGAATTAATAAGAAATTTTCTTCAGAAAGACTTTGATCACTTTGTCAACCGTGGATTTTACGTGAACGAAGAATTTGATCCGTTAACTGGTCACCTCTTCAACTTAGAAGGCGCTAAGTGGAAAAATCTTCGGGCTAAATTGACACCCACGTTTACCTCTGGTAAGAATAAAACATAGACCCCAAAATTAATGAAACAGAAAGCACAGTTGCTTAGGACACTAAAATATTATGATTTGTTTACAATTTGCATGTATTGACAAGTCTAAATTTTAAAGTAAAAAGAATTTGATGGACAGCTATAACGTGCTAGATTTACAGTGGCTTTATGCGCCATCTATTAATAGGAAGCTCAACTAAAATATCATACCACTATCCTCCTTTTATTTACTAGTAGGAGATAGAGAGGAGTTACATAAATAAAAAGATTTCTGTAATAACAATGCCCATAGTCTAATATATCACAATAAAAATGGCATACGATTCGAAAAAAAGTTCTGTAACAATGCCGTATACAGGGTGTACCAATGTCAGCGTACAAAAATTTATCAGGGGATAGACCAGACCAAAATAAGCTTTAAATGCTTATAAAATATTTTTCTTCGATGCACTCCACTGAGTGTAACTCAGTGGGTATGGTTTAGAAAAAAAAAAAAAACTAGCTGACGTTCCCTTAGCTTTGCGAAATCAAATGTACTATCAACAAGATGGAGCACCTGATCATAAAGGAAGACAGGTATCTGCGTGGCTCGATTTGCATTTTCCAGAATGCTGGATTGGGAAAAATGGTCCCGGGGTCCCTGACCTCAACCCGACTGTTTTTTTACTGTACAAACCCAGTAACACTAAAGACGATTTATTTAAAAAAATTAATGTAGCCGCCGAGCAAATTCAAGCAACCGTTAATTCGCGAAGGGTTTACAATTCCTTGGTCAAACGATGTCGGACATGCATTGTAGTAAATGGGCAGCATTTCGAGCATTTACTGAAATAATTGTTTTAATTTTTAATATTGTAATTTTGCTACATAATTTCGTTTCTGTTACATAATTTTCAATTTTATTTTTAGTTCCCCTATACTTAACCAAATATTAAATAATTCATAGAAAACTTGTTTAGTTCCTTCATTTTCATTGAGCCGCAGCTACATGGGAAACTGTACCTCAACGGTAAACAACTTTGTTTTTTATAGTGACAGGTACCTACTAGATAACAAGAAATAAAATTTACATGAATTTTTCTACTAACTAATACAGTCGGTAATTTAGACCCAATTTACTCAAAAACGGTTCATTTTTGAGCTATGAAATAAGAGCATGGCTTTTGTTCAGAATCGATTGCAGATTCAGGAAAACGTAATCAAATTACATAAAACTAGGAAATGCAAAAGTTATGAAGACAAGTTGGCTTAGGCCACCCCTGGCGTCAGATCGAAATAAACACCATGTAGTTTTAATGACCTTTAATCGATGTACACTTCACCCAAAAATTACTTAAATCCTTGAAGGGGTTTTTGAGTTATTGCGGAAAGTTGTTATTATTTTTTTCTAAATCCCTCACACTCGGAAAAATATTTTATAAGAATTTTAACCTTACTTTGGTCTAGCTACCCTCTGGTAAATACTTGAACGCTGAGACTAGGGCGCCCTCTATAATTCTCTTTGTACATCTGGTTTTGTTTACTCGTTATAGCATACCTTGTAGTAGATTGTTGCCAACCCAATATAAATTTCTCGTTTAATTCATTTTATGATTAATATGAAATGCGAATATAGCTGTGAAGCTTCCAACTTAGTATCAACTTTTGGACAAAGATGAATTTGATTAAATTAAAATATTTTGCTGTTCCAAATTCGCAACTGTTCTATATCTCATTGATGTGAAGCTACTTGAAATCATTATAGGTAAAATGAAGATGATGTTTCAAACTCTAAAGGAATGCTCCGTTGGTCTAGAGCAACTACTCCATGAATGTTCAAAAACCAGTGACCCACTGGACGTCAGAGAAATTATAGCACGATTCACAACAGACACTATCGGATCATGTGCGTTTGGTATAGAATGCAACAGCATGAAAAATCCTGACGCCGAATTCAAAAAATACGGCAAAAGGATCTTCGAAGTCAGTAATTCTAACATGTTGAAACAAATTATTGCCTGCTTTCTTCCCATGTCAATCGTTAAAAGATACTTCAAATTCATAGATCAGGAAGTAGAAACCTTTTTCGTAAACGCTGTAAGAGATACGCTTGCATACAGAGAAAAGAACAATATTTTAAGAAACGATTTTCTTCATTTGTTGACAACGTTAAAAAATGAAGGTAATGAAAGTGACAGCATCGAAAACAGCAAACCTTTCCTATCCCTAAATGAGATTACTGCGCAGTGTTTTGTATTCTTTGCGGCAGGATTTGAAACATCGAGTACCACAACAACTTTTGCTTTATACGAATTGTCTGTCAATCCAGAGATTCAAGAAAAACTTAGGGAAGAAATACTATTCACATTAGAAAAACACGGTAATGAAGTGACATACGAATCTATTGGAGAAATGACTTACTTAGAAAAAGTTATTAACGGTAGGTTTTTAAATGAAGTATAAATGCCCAGTAAAGAATGTCCCATACTTAGGTGCTTAGTATACAAAAAATGTTGATTAAATTTTTGCTATCCCTTTTTGTACTGATTTCCCCAGCTTTACCCGAATAATGCACAAACTTTAAAAAGTTATCTCCCATTTTTGTTTTAGAATTCGCTTATAGTAAATGTCCAAGATGTAATAAATAAAAACCTTCAAGTTTCAGGATAAACTGAAAACGTTAGCTTCCATACATCCATAACTTTAATAAATGTATTTTTTTTCAGAGGTTTTACGCAAATACCCACCAGTTCCAATACTACACCGCCGGTCTAACAAAAGTTATAATGTCCCTGACACGAATGTGGTCATAGAAGAAAAAAGACCAGTGCACATACCTGTTATAGGACTTCATTATGATCCAGATTATTATCCTGATCCCGAGGTATTTGATCCGGAAAGATTTAATGAAGAAAACAAAGCCAAAAGACCGGCGTTTACATACCTTCCTTTTGGAGATGGACCAAGGATATGCATAGGTATATAGTTGAATGTAATCAATAATATACAGCGTGTTTCAGAAAGACCTCCCGTAAATACAGGGGGTCATAGTACGACAAAAAATAAGAATTTTTTGTCTTATAATCTATAATGGTCTATCTCTTCTTGTTTTCGAGATATAGAGCGACAAAATAAAATTTTTAAATAGAATTTTTACGAAAATTTCCAAACGGTGCGAAATATTTTTATGAAATTTGGTATTCCGGGGTTTTTAAGGACGTCAAATACGCTGGTCTAATTATTTTTTGTATATTTTATAGAGGGCGCTAGTTATACTACATTCGTATTACATTTTAAGTTCTAATTTTTTTGGGGTTAGGTTTTTTAGTATTCGGGCTCCAATTTCTAATGTACAATTTTATTTTCTAAAAAATAATGTATTCTTGCTGGAACTTCCTAATGTGGAGGGTTTTCGAGAAAAAAGGCTTTTAATTGAAATTTTACAATATTGCGGTGTAGAAAATAAGTGACTTTCTTCAAAGTAAGCTTATGTCAAAACTTATTGATGGATGTCTCATAAACAACGCATACATTTTCAGTAATATTTTAAACTCTAATTAACTTTATATCAAAATTTTAGTGACTGTAATTAGTCATTACTAACTAGTCACTAACAATTTTGATATAAAGTTAATTAAAGTTTAAAATATTACTGAGAATGTATGCGTTGTTTATGAGATATCCATCAATAAGTTTTGACATAAGCCTACTATGAGAAAAGTCACTTATTTTCTTCACCGAAATATTGTAAGAGTTCAATTAATAGCCTTTCTTCTCGAAAACCGTCCACAGGATATGTCCGAGGAAATGTCAATTATGTTTTGTTCTTAATTGGCCACATTCTACATATTATTTTGAGAAAAAAGTAGAAAATCTTTCAAAACGTGAAAAAAATTTTTTTAGTGATATTTACCTACTTCTACTTCTCATTGTGATTTACAAAGTAGGTAAGATTGTTAGAAATAGTTCCTGAGTAATGTTTGTGCATAGTTCGGTTACTAATTTTCCTTTTAATTTCTTTATTACGTGTGGCAAATACCCAGAAAAAAACTTCTTAAGAAATTAAATACTTTCGGACAATAAAATGTAATATAAAATCTTCAGTAATGCCTATCTAGGACTGGAAGTTTGACGAAATTAGTTTTACAGGAATATTTTAGTAAATTTTTCCACTAAAGACGATATGATTTATTTATGATGATAGAAATCTGATAGGATAAATATAAATACTTTTACAAATCTTAGACAGATACATAATCTATGATTTATTTATTCCTCTTCTAATTACAATTGATACAATATTGTTTACTAATAAATCTTTTTAAAAAGAAGTAACTTTCTGTTTGAAATGTTCTGGAATGCGTTGTTAACTATTTCCCAATTTAAAACAAATGTCAGAAATATTGATATAATCATAAGACGTATTATACTGAAGATGATGCTGAACTTAATAGGATATTACAGAGGTCAAAACTGAGCATATTTTTTACCATTTTTTATTTAGGCTTCAATAATATTCCATGAAACTTTAATCCCTATTCTTACTAAAACAATCATATCTGTGTTAAATATATATTATTTGTTAAATTTGAAGTAAATACAATGTATAGATACTGTGACTTTCACATTTTTTTCAGGTTTAAGATTTGGAAAACTACAAACCAAATTGGCGCTTATCACAATATTAAGATATTACAATGTAGCTTTGAACGAAAAGACGAAAACTCCGTTGCAACTGGACAAAACGACTTTTATATTAAGTGTAGAAGGTGGTGTATGGCTAAACCTTTTAAAACTGTAGTAATTCACGTAACGTAATTTATTATTTGTCTCGTTATTTGTCAATGCAATTTGAGATATCTAGAATTTTGTCTACCTGAATTTTATTATGTAGGTATGTTTCTGTTAAATAAAATGTCTCAAATTAAATGGTACCTTCCTCTTTAAACGGGTTTATCTCAAAAAATATCTATTTTATGGAAATTCAACAAGTATACCTTTTTTACGTGAAATACCATAAATTTTTATAAAACGATGGAAAATTTGGGGTATAGTGGAACAAAATTTTTTTTTTCTAGATATTTTGGTGGGGGGTGCTTTGCCCCCGGGCCCCTATAATTATTATCGAGGATTTCATATTATCATCCAAAGCAGCTTCAAAAATTATAGATCCAGCCAAAAAATTTTCAAAATTTATTGAAAAATACAAAAGTTACAGCAAAAAAACCATTTTTAATTCTCAACTTCAAGTTCATATAAAA